AAAGTAAATATTTCAGATAAAAAGATAAAACAAAACAAAACAAGCTAACTATATAGTGTCATATCTTGTACTGGAAGTAATTCTTAAAAAAAAATCAATGGTTAGAGAAAAAACAGCCTAGTTCAGCCATTTCACATTAAATAAAACTACAACATCATAAGAATAACCTAAAATATCCTGAAGTACCTTGGTGAGAACTCTTGTGAAACAATAACAGACATTGAAAATCCTATAGCTAGAATTTCATTGACACCCTCCAATGCAGAGTTTTGATACAATTCTTACAGAGGTCAGAGAAAACACATCAACACCATGTAAGAACACAAAGATTTTGTGAAGGGGGAAAAAAGACACTTTTAAAAACTTCTGTTGAGATGATATCCAGAATACAAAGGCTTTTCAATAGGCCTTATGCTTTTGAAGATACAGAAAATACAAGAAAGAGAAAGTGATTAATTTTGCTTTGCTTTCAGAACAGGGGAAACCGCTGTAAAAGACTACATGATAATGGAGCAAATCCAAAGACTTGTGTTCTTTAGTTGATACAGAAAATTTTTTACTTGGCAGGAAAGACTTCCTTAAAAAAACAAGTTGTGTATCAGTAGTTCCCTTATGACTCAGATCACAATCCTGTAACTCCTTTGGTAAATTGAACCAATGGCAAAATGGAATGATGGAGAGGTTATGGTCCATTTAGTTCATAAACAATTTTTTGCACCTTTATCTCATAAAAGCAATCATCCCTGAGGCAGAAAAGGTCACTAGAAAGTTCAGAGTGATTATTCTTCAAGTGTCACATTGTTCTATCTTAGTAGCCTGCACTCTTAGTATCAATTCCAGAGAGCTTTGTCAATTTGTGTCTGGGGTGGTTCGTAAGGCGAGCCGTAGGGGGAGAAGACCGGTGTGGATGAGCCGGGAATTACTGTCAAGACTCAGGAAGAAAAAGAGAGTCTATGTCCTGTGGAAGAAGGGACAGGCTACTAGGGGTGATTACAAGGAAGTTGCAGAGGTATGCAGGGAGGAAGTCCGGAAGGCGAAAGCCCATCTCGAACTTAGATTGGCCACTGCAGTAAAGCAGAATAAGAAATCCTTTTACAATATATCAATGACAAGAGAAAACCCAAGGATAATCTCTGTCCTTTAATTGATGCGGCAGGGAATGTGACCACAGATGACAAGGAGAAGGCTGAGGTCCTCAACGCCTTCTTTACATCTGCCTTTAATAGTCAGACCAGCTATCTTCAGGCACTTTGTGCCCTGATCTGGATATCTGGGCTGACATGCAGCATATCTCCCCGGAGATCGAGGTGGAGACAGTTAGAGAGCTCCTCCTCCATCTGGACAGTCACAAGTCCATGGGTCCGGATGGGCTTCATCCTAGGGTGCTGAGGGAGTTGGCAGGGGTGATCACTAAGCCGCTCTCGGCTATCTACCAGCGCTCCTGGTTGACTGGAGAGATTCCAGAGGATTGGAGGCTTGCTGATGTGACTCCCATCTACAAGAAGGGCCGTAAGGAGGATCCGGGGAACTACAGGCCTGTCAGCCTGACATCAGTGCCAGGGAAGGTCATGGAACAAATCCTCCTGGGAGAGATCACACAGCTTGTCCACGGGATCAGGCCCAGCCAGCACGGGTTCATGAAAGGCAGGTCGTGTTTGACCATCCTCATCTCCTTCTACGACTGGGTGACCAAACTGGTAGATGAGGGAAAGGCAGTTGATGTAGTCTACCTAGACTTCAGCAAAGCCTTTGACATGGTCTTACACAGTATCCTTCTGCGGAAACTGGCTGCCCATGGCTTGGACAGTTTTACCCTCCGTTGGATAAGGAACTGGCTGGAGGGCCGTGCTCAACGGGTGGTGGTCAATGGAGTGAAGTCCAGCTGGAGACCTATTACAAGTGGTGTCCCCCAGGGGTCGGTGCTGGGGCCCATCCTGTTTAATATCTTCATTGATGACTTAGATGAAGGGATTGAGTGTACCCTGAGTAAGTTTGCAGATGACACCAAGTTGGGAGGTTGTGTCGATCTGCCTGAGGGCAGGGAGGCCCTGCAGAGGGATCTAGGTAAGCTGGATCGCTGGGCTGAGATGAATGGGATGAGGTTTAAAAAGGCCAAGTGTCGGGTTCTGCACTTTGGCCACAACAACCCCAGGCAGCGTTACAGGCTTGGGGATGAGTGGTTGGACGATTGTGAAGAGGAAAGGGACCTGGGGGTGTTGGATGATGCTCGGCTGAACATGAGCCGACAGTGTGCCCAAGTGGCCAAGAGGGCCAACGGTATCCTGGCCTGCATTAGAAATAGTGTGGCCAACAGGAGCAGGGAGGTGATCATCCCCCTGTACTCAGCACTGGTGAGGCCGCACCTCGAGTACTGTGTTCAGTTTTGGGCCCCTCACTACAAGAAAGACATTGAGGCCCTGGAGCATGTCCAGAGAAGGGCAACGAAACTGGTAAGGGGTCTGGAGCACAAGTCTTATGAGGAGCGGCTGAGGGAGCTGGGATTGTTCAGTCTGGAGAAGAGGAGGCTCAGGGGAGACCTCATTGCACTCTACAACTTCCTGAAGGGAGGTTGTGGTGCAAAAGGGTCTGGCCTCTTCTCCCAGGCAAATAGTAGGACCCGAGGAAATGGCAAGAAGTTATACCACAGGAGGTTTAGGTTGGATATTAGGAGAAACTTTTTCTCTCAGAGGGTGGTCAGGCACTGGAATGGCCTGCCCAGGGAGGTGGTGGAGTCGCCATCCCTGGCAGTGTTCAAGAGGCGCCTGGATGAGGAGCTACGAGAGATGGTTTAGTAGCTTGTGGCACTGATAGGAATGGGAGGGTGGTTGGACTGGGTGATCTTGCAGGTTGTTTCCAACCTTGTGATTCTGTGATTCTGTGATTCTGTGATTCTATGTCATGTAAGTTACTGTCAACGCTTCTGAACAATTCAGTAGTTTGCTGAACATGACAGACAAGATTTCTGCTTGTTAAGCAGCAGCAAAATGAAGTTTCTTTTAGAAATTAAAAGTTTCTTTTATCCAGAAAGCTAATGCCATCAGGGAGTTATAATCAAGCATAATGGGACTGTTTTAATATAGAAATTCACCTACCTGCAGCTATAGGTAGTGCTGAGGTGAGTATTGGACTGGAGTATTTTTTGGTCAAAATGTCAGTGATAAAATATTACCCTCTGTTCTGAACCTGATTTCAGTAGGAATCATGCTCAGAGCAGAGGAGCTATTAAGGGAAGAAGTCCTTGGATGCATCTAGAAAGAATAATCCATGCATCAGCCTGAAGACTTCAACAAACTTTTCATTTACATCTCTGCATAAGAAAGCTGAGCAGCAGTGGATCATGTGAGAAATAGTCACACCAAAAATCCCCTGTGATGAAGTCATGAAGAACAACAGTTCTCCTCTGTTGCACTCATTTTTGTGTCACTATATCTCTGTGCAAGACACATGTTTATAGAGTGATCTGCTGTGGATTACAGTGAAAAAGAAATTTGACACTGGAGATGAGTCATAGAAAAAAAAATGATGTTACTCTAGCTTCTCATCAGGAAGGGGTCAGTTCAGTATTGAGGCAATACTCATATTTTTAATGTTAATGAACTAACTTGATGCTCTTGATGTTTAAAGATTATTTTCTGTATCATTTTTGGACAAGGTTAACCAAATCTGTGGTCACACACTGGAAACAAAGCAGATGTACCTTAAGAAAAGAATTACATTCCACAATTGCTGGCAGGGATAATAGTTCAAATAGAGGAATAAATAAAAAAAAGATTACGTGTGAAATCAAACAAGCACAGACTCATTCAGAAAGTACTCTCAGTACACAATGTCTGAAGAACCTTACGGATTTTCAGATAAATCATCAAATGCAGAAATAAAGCACATTTTTTTTTCCATACAGACATTGAGAATTATATTTGGTCCACTACTATGTAAAAAAGTTTTAAATAATTTTCAGTGATATAAATGTCTGTGACCTAATTTGCATAAAAGAAAAAGAAACCAGGAGTTGTTATGGCAGCAAAGAGCAGAAACATGGTTGCAAATCTTTCCTCGATCCTATGTTAATTAAATGTACCACAGCGCGTGAAGTAGCTCTCAGCGAACTCATATTTTAAAATTCTTGAGTGTAATTGAAAAACTCACTGCAAAGAATGCAAACGGCTGCTGGACAGATCAAAGAGCATATGAAGAGTTATTTAACGGGTTTGCTAATGGAAAGATAATGGCTTTTATGAGGATGATGGAACAAAAATAAAGCAGCAGACCTGAGGATAAATTAAAAGACGAAAAGAGGCCTTGTAAAATGAAGCAGTAACACAAATCCATTAGCTGTAAACACTGGATAATATTAATCCAGTAAATGGTACTCCACTTCCATTTTGTGCATCATGGGTGAAAGGTGGTAGCTCGTAGCAGAAAATAGGTGCTCTTTTGCTTTAATGGTCTTGAATAAGGCTGTTGGCCATATTGACAGCTGCGCTGAGTAGCAGCTGGTAGGTAGGCAAAGTTGTTTAATGTTTATAACAATGAAGAATAGATTTGTATAGTTTATAACTAAAACCTTTTTGGAAAGTACTTAGGATAAATATTCTAAAATCTTTGAAAAATTGTTAAGTAAATTAAATTACTTATTATGTGAAACTGGTAATCTGCTATTTCTGAGATTACTTTCAATTTATTACATAAAGCCAAAAATACATTAAAAAAATAATAATAATTTATCAGGAGTAACCTGAATATACCTACCAAGGAGATCAGAGTTAATGACAATAATCAGCCTGGCTTTTCCAACAAAAATTCCCTATTGCTGCCACTTCAAAGGAGAACATTGAAGTATTAATGCAACATTTCACCTGTGTCCAGTTTTGTACATAGTGCATAAGCAGTTTTAAGAACCTTATGTCTTCTTTCAGTTTTTGAAACTCCTACAATATTTCATACACTTGGGGTTTATTTTTGTAGCCATTTATTACAACCAGTTCTTTCTGGAATCACAGAATTGTAGACGCTGGACGGGACCTGTAGAGATTGAGTTCAACCATCTGCTAAAGCAAGTTCACTACACAGGCAGACGTCCAGATGGGTCTTGTGTATCCACAAAGAAGGAGACTCCACAACCTCTCCAGGCAGCCTGTTCCAGTGCTCAATATCTTGTTGAAAACTCATCCTGTGAAGTAAGTAAAAGATGATCCACTTTGAGTATTACCCTCTGTAATACCACCAAGAAGCAAACCTAAATTCAGTAAAACCCAAGCAAAACTTTCTGTTATTCCCCCTGTGCAGGAGTGTCACACTGACCTGGCTCATACAATTTCCTGAGCCAAAAGGGGCTGGGCACTGAGAAGTCTTGCTGGCTATGGTGTTCATTATGATATCAAACATACCTCAGGAGCTGATAGACATGCCAACCACCCAATGCATTAATAATTCCTTTCTTTTTCAAAGACCTTTTTAAGCAGTCGAGTTCCCACACTCGAGCTGGCTTTCTTAACGACAAATCTCATTTTCGTTCAAGCCGAGAAGAGCAGTGTCTGGAAGTAATGGTCACTGTGTTCCTTCCCCACATCAAAATATTCTACCCAATTATGAGCTTGTTTTAGAAGAATTCGGATAAGATCCATCTTAATTATTGATTGCAGTTGAATGATCCTTTTAATCTGTCTAATTTGAGAAGACAAGTGTTGAGAATACCAGTGGATTTTGTGTAAAAAGATGGTTGAACACTGCCAGGAACACAGGTTTATTCATTGTCCCGATATCCCAAACAATAAATTAGAGAAGCACATCTTCAGCATTTTTTTTCTAGTATTAGTTCACAGTAATTCCTGTTGTAAGTCAGAAAGTCTGCTTCACCATTTAAAAATAAGCACACTTTTTAATAGTGCATTAAAAAACTATTTATGTTGGAAAATTGAGGCAATAGAAATAGGTGTGTGACTTTCATAACTTTGTAACTTGTATATAGTTTTACAGCATTTCATTGCATGAAAGCAGTAGTATGATATATCTTGGCTATATCTTATCCAGTCTTCAAAGGAAGTTTATCATTATGTAATTAATTTCAAGAAAGCAGTATTATTCTGGCAAAAAAAAAGAAATTTTAAATTGTTTGGAATTAAATGAAATATCAGCAGACAGTGTTCTGTGTTTCACAAAGATACTTTTGTATTGTTTCATAATTCTTTTCATGCTCAGACACCTGATGTGTAAAGCTGCTGACAGTTCTGAAGTTCTTCTCTAAAACATCACCTGTGTTTTCTATTTTCTTGAATTATCACATGCAAAGTATGGTAAGTGCTGGGGATAAGGAACAAAGACTTTTTAACAAAGGCGTTGAAAACGCCATCAGTTTAATGCACAGCGGCAAGGTGCAAATGGCAGAGATGTTTTTCCTTTATGAAGAAAGGTGGAATTGGAGAATAAAGAATTTAAAAGAAAAGGAAAAATTAATGCACTACTTTTCTGGAAATCATTTTCTACTGCTATAAGATCCTGAGAATATATGTTAGAATTATTATTACAGTCTTAGAAAAAGAAATCATCTACCATGTACTTATATGGATATTTATGATATTTCAGTATGGATCAAAGATGAAACAAACTCTCATAATATCTATGGGCATCAACAAATACTTTATGCAGCATTCTCAGGTATCCCAGAGACACTAATTAATAATCCAGAAAGAAAGAAGGAATAGAATTATAGAATCATTAAAGTTGGAAGAGATCTCTAAGATCATCCAGTCCAAATGTCAATCCATCACTGCCATGCCAACTAAACCATATCACTTCGTGCCACATCTCCACGGTTACTGAACACCTCCAGAGATGGTGACTCCACTCCTCACCACTCTCTGAGAATTAATTTTTCCTAATATCCTGCCTGGCACAACTTAGGGACATTCCCTCTTGTCCCACTGTTAGTTACATGGGAGAAGAGGCTGACAGCCACCTCTCCACAACCTCCTTTCAGGTAATTGTAGAGAGTGATAAGATCTCCCTTGAGAGCCCTCTTATCCAGACAGAACATCAAAGCTAAGTACAGGGGAACAATCCTTCTCCTGCTAGCACACTATTCTGATACAGGCCAGGATGCTGTTGGCCTTCTTGGCCCTCTGGGCATACAACTGGCTCACGTTCAGCCAGCATGTATGTTCATTTCCATCAGTACCGAATGAAAGCTTTGATATGAAAGTTTGCTAGAGAAGACAAATTATTAGAGAGATCACTCCTTGCAGATTTACACATAATATTAACGTGTCACATTAGGGGCAGATTTTGGTAGGCAGAGAGCAGACATACTGCAATTTCTGGCTGAAGACAGAATTTCACTGAAATTTCTGCTACCCATTCCATTTTCTCAGGTTCGAGGATACTTACAGTTCCACTGTCCTGAGCAATTTATAAGAAATACAGAATCCTTTGCTAACAGTACAGCGCTTCAAAGATTTACTGTCTTTGTTTTCTGTTGACTATTTTTCATTTCCTAGCATTGACACCACATCATACTTATGATGATAGTTTATTAATAAGATAGTTTATTCTGAAGGCGGTCAAGAAGATCACCATGAAGACTGAGTCATCTGTTGGTGCCTGAGTAACAGCTCTTCTCAAGCAGCCTTGGAAAAGACACAGACATCTGAAAGGTAATTCAACTCCTAGTCACCCAGATGGTCATCTATGAACAGGAGAAAGGAACTGCCACTTTTACAAGTGTGGGGAAAGAAAAATTTCAGGCCTAGGGTTCCAGATGGGTTTCTCTAAATCATTAGTAATAATCTCATTTTAATTTTTCTCCCTAAAATTAGATGCGTAGGCTAAGCCACTTGTCCAGGTCACACCTCTGCAATCACCTAAACAGTCACTGCAGAAAGGGGTTTAATTCATTTATCTTTCTCCATGGCTTCGAGAAGAGGTCTAGATGAGCAGCGCAGACATGATGGATGGGAGATGAGCTAATCCTCTCCCTGTGGGACTAATAAAAATATGCTCTAGCATTGTTGAGGAAAGTGTCCCCTACTGAAAATCTGGCGTCATGTTTTTTCCCTAGGGAGCCTCCTGTCTACTTTTAATGCCAGAGAACATTTTGATTGTTGTCTATCAGTATTTCTCCTGAATATGCAAAAAGGTTGCGTGCATGATATAAAGCTCCAGAAAGGCTCACATCCTCTGAGACATGACAGCTTTCATGAGATTGTGTTGTTGGTGTTATTTCACCTCTTCAGGTGCACTGTTCATTTTAGGGCATGCAGCATTTTGCCCCTGCTCTTTTAAATTTTCTGGCCCCACACGTAGGAAAATGCAGAAGAAATCATGAAGAAATATTTTAAAATAATTACCATTTTGGAAGACAGAATGAATGCAGTATCAAAACTAGTAATACAATTCTACTTAGCTGTTAAGGGGCTTGTTCTCTATAAATCCAGATCAGCTTCTAAAAGACAGACAGAGAAAAACCTGCACTTCTTCCATTTCTGGAGGAAATCTCATATGTTTAGCAGTCTTGATTAGCAGTTAAGAAAGGCAGATGCCATATGTAAGATATCTCAGACAGATTAAGACATCAAAAACTCAAAGACAAGGGAAAATCTCTTGAGAAAAAGCTAGATCTGTTCAGTGGTAAACCACTCTCTAAATCTGGTAATCCACGTCAATCAGATAGACACATTTCATTGCATGACACACATATCCTTATGAAACCAATTATTATAATTCTATAATATGTTGTAAATATTATGTTTCTATAAAATAATACTAATGAAATTAAAGTAGAATAGGAGTTATATACTGCCTTTAAACTTACAGGTGGATAGTCCACGGGAAAAAAAAAAAGTATATTTGGAGTTAAAGGCTGAAGTTTCTCTCAGATGTGGCTGCTAGTATTGCCTACTACTTGGATTCAATCACATCTTACAAGACACTTTTTAAAATTACCATTTTTTTTAGTTGGACTTTTTGTTGTTGCCCTTGTAAGTGACTTTTAAAAATTATTCATAAATTTATAAAACTTTAACCATTTAAACTGCATTTTCCAACCTGAATACTTAGAATCAGAGAATCAGAATTTCCCATTTGCTGCTGCATTTCAGTTTGTTGTTTTTGTTTCCATTTCCATCTGACTTTTTATAAAGATCTGCCAGACAAATTAGGTTATCTGAAAGAACAGAAGAATGAGATCAACAAAAACACTTCTTAGTAAAATTGGACAATTCTGAAGATTTGCTAAGTGAACATGATCGATTTTGTGCATTTGAGTGAAAAAGGATTCCCATCCAAAAATAATGAGTATGCAATTAATGATCATCTTGTAGCTCATGCACACAAAGGATTAGAAAAAAGCTGCCAAAACTCTGAGTGCTTTTGATCCAAACTTTAGATTGCTTGAATTTGAAACTTAGTCATGTTCTTGTAACATAGCTTTCTATTGTTGCTGTTATTTGTAACAGCATTCTAATTGTGTTTCTGATTCAGAGTTTTCTGATGTCTAATAGCATCTAATTGTGTTTCTGATTCAGAGTTTTTGGGAAATTATTCTTGTAATTCTTTTCAGTGCTCAGTGCTAGTGAGCTTGATGTATAGTTCACAGTTATGTCATCTCTTCTTCATAAATGAAACAATGCATTACTATAACTCCAAATTCCAATTTCTGGTAATATAGTGTCTCCAGCTTTGGCTGGGATCAGTTTTTCATACTGCTGTCCTGCTGCTGGCATATGATTCTGTCGGCTTGTCTGGCTCTTGCTTTCTTCTCCTGTTGCAGCTGGGTTGGCTTCAGGCTATGACAATTTTGCCTGCAGTCCTTACCTCCTGCTGTTCTATCAAGGACAAGAATGCTTGAGGCTGAAACTTAACTTTTAAATCCTTTATTCTGCAGAGCCTTAAGGCACACTCTACTACTTCAAGTACCGAATCATCATGTAATATTTTGTGTAGGTTTGTATATGTTTCTAAATTTTCGGACTTTAGCTTATTTGTGGCAAGCACTGAGCAGAGTTGCTGCAAGGACTGCATGGCCCAAAGCAAAGCTGATTTCTTTTCTAACACGAATTTATGAACATCCATCACATTTTTCACAAACCCTACTCTAATTTTGTAATAATTCTCATAAATTAATGTATAAGGACACAGATAAGAAGATGTCATTATAACTATGCAAGTAGAACAGTGAGAATGTATGTAAACATTACTTAGTAATAAAATGAGATTATAACACACCAAAAAACCATCAGGCTTGGGACTAACAGCAATCCAAAAGGCAAATTAAATGTTATGAATGTGTATTTGACCATCGAACAAAAACTAAAATATCATTATGCCAATATATGTACCTACAGCATAGCTTTGTTGGTAGTGCTATATGCAATACTGGTTCCCCCATCTCAAAAAGAATACCATAAAACTGGAAAAGACGGTAAGTAGAGTGCCTTGGTTGATCAGAGGTCTGGGGAAACATTCAAGAAAGGAAGGAATAAGAAGTCTCATCACTTCATATTAATTATCGGAAAGATAATCAAATGAAGATAAAACAGAGATTTTAAAAGCTGAGTCAGGGAGTGTGAGTAGAGGTCTGTAATCTACTTTCTTTTCCAACTCAAAAACTAGGCTGCATCAAAATACAATTGCAAAAGGCAGGTTCAGATCAAACAAAAAATAAGTTCTTCATCCATGTATATAACTCAGTGTAAAATGATGTGGAAAGTATAAATTTACCCCAGTTCATGGAGAGGCTGTGCATACTCATGAAAGAGAAAATCTGTCAATGTTATTCAAAAATCCAGAGTACACAACTTACAGATTTGTTGGATGACGATATCACTACATGGTTCCTGTGTTCCTACCCTCTTCTAAGGGCATGTACTTCTGACCACTGCTACAGAGAGGATATTACACATTCTAATGTTCTTTCTTTTAGTATAACTGCAAGTTTAGTTTTTAGTTCACTTCACCTGGGAGGATTTATTTTATATTACACTAAAACTTCTAAAATCCCAGTATGTACTTTACCTGATTCTGTTACAGCACTTTGTAGGTAAACTTTCTCAGGGGAGTTTTTAAAAAATATTCTCACCAGATTGGCAGCTGAATAATTAAGTGTTGGAGGACTGTGAACTACTTTAACATTTCATGTTTTGAGTAATATCCACTTAGCTATTCTAGTAACCTGTGTTGTGTAAGACTAACATCAAGAGACAGAATCTATCTTCTCCTTTGTATGATATTTGCTGCACTGAATTAAAAATGCTTTGTAGACTTTAAATGAAGCATATGCTGATATTCGTAAGTGTGATAGCTTTCTGAAATGGTGTCGCTTATCCCTTGTCCTCTTGTCTGATTCTCTCTTCTATTCCTGCACTAGGCAGAAATCTTTATAGTTCTATATGATCCTGCAAAGCAAAACACTGTCATTAGCAAAGTACTTCAGATTTGGAATAGTTCAATAGAAATCAGTCAAAACACTCATATGACAATGCTGAAAGTGCTTAAGTACACTGATGGATTGGGACTGAAAAGAATTCTAACTCTTTACTGCTTTATTTATCTTCAGATTGAACATAAAGCATTTTTAATTATCATTGAGCTAACTTATACTGTATTGACTTTCATGGCATTATCTCCTATTTTAGTGTTAGCAACACATTCACAGATATTTTAACAATATTGGAATACTATGCAGCATAAAATCCTTTTAAATTTCTTTTCAAAGTTGCCTTTGGGGCTTCAAAAGCTCATTTGATCCCAAACAGGAGCAAAAGCAATACTTTTTATAGAGGAAATATGTTCAGAACAAAAAGAATGCAGTGTGGTACTTTTGTTTAGACTTAGAAGTGAATCAAAATACATGCATTACCTATGCATGCTCAATCTTTTCAGTATAACCTTTTCAGTGTTGTAGAATGAAGCTGCATGAAGAAAAAACAGTTTCATCACCTTGGCTACAAGGACAAGTGTGTGTGTATATTTATACTACAAAATAGATGCAATAGGTGCAGTATGTAAGTTGCATAGTATACATAAATGTAGTGATATCAACTTACTTTACAATGTGGCATATGCAAACATGCAAACTTGTTAATTCTTCTGTTTTTCTCAGAAACACAAAAATTGCTAGATTAAAGCTTCATTCTTCATTCAGTTGTAATTAATAGAGAACCACATGTTGACATCAGCAGAGAAATGATGTCAGTCTCTGACTTTTCAAAGTCACAAAGGACATTTATGAATGAAAAAAAAAAAGGAACTGAAACCTGTATTATATCTCTGCTCTCCCTAGACCTAACTTTCGTAAACAGTTGCAACACGCTCTCTACAACTACTAACTGCTTTCCCTATTATTAATCAATAAACATTGATCAAAATTCCCATCCATAATGTGTCCCAAATGGTCTTTGTGTTGAGTGATAAAATCAAGTTTCATATTTCTGTTTGATTTATAGCAAGTACTAAAAATCAAAGAAAACACCTGATGTTTTAACTTGAGAAAAATGGGCTCCCTCTGCTATAAATTCATAGTTCCAAAGCCCTTTGGATGCTCCAAGGTTTCACAGTTAAGGTACTACAGAAGCCAATCTTTATTTGAGAGATAAAAACATATGTTTATCTCACCTTCTAATCTTGTTCTCCTGGCTCCAGAAATACACCCTCTGCTGCCAAGCAATCTGAACGTACATCTGTCTCCAAGGTATATCTCTCTTTAAAACTATAAGGAAAGTGGCCAGCTGTGATGACATATAAAGACTGAACCAAAAATACTTGGAGAAAGTGAGGAAGATGCAATATCTCAATGATGCTTTTGCAACACATCATCTGTGAGGGGCCAACACAGAAAGTCTGGCTGCTAATCACAGCTGGATGTAAGCCATGAAGTTCAGCTATGAGTGCAAACTTTCCTTCAGCCTGAGGTCATTTGGCTTCATGCATTTGGTAGACAGAAAAGGACTAGTATGAAGTGCAAATTGTGTTCTAGTTTGTATAAATTATTAAGGTGATCTGGTGTGAATGTTTTCTACAGATTCCTGTCCATTATTCTTGTAGATTTAAGGCTATTAAAGTTGTTTTACACATACCTGCTATGCCTGTTCTACCAGTTTGTGCTCAGGGATATATTTTGTTGGTTTAAAAAGAGAATGAGTGGTCCATGTGGAAAAGGGGAGACTGTCCCTTCCCTATGGAGTTACTGAACTCAGCAGAATGCTCCTGACTTCCTATTCTGACAAGCAATAAAGAGAAAGCAATAGCAAGTGGCTAGGAGCTTGCAGCCCAGGCAGAGAAAGTCATTGAGAAAAGAAGAGTACAAGATCTACGCGTGGAACAAATGAGAGTTTTCTAACGAGCAGGAGGGAGATACTGAGGTGTATTTAATCATCTCTGCAGACAGAATGGGCATTGGAAGATTGAAGAATCTCTCTTTGGAGAGATTCTGTGATTTTGTGAATTAAAAGCCTTCTTTTCCAATTAAATCTTGCCTAATCATTTTGAGTTCCCTTTACTTTTTAAGCTAATTATGCTTATTAATGTTTTAGTGAAAACTGTATTCTTTCAGTGTAACATGTATTACATAGACCTATCTCAAAATGGGACAACACACATAATGTGAGATTGTTGTTTTCATCATAGGACAAAGAGAAAAACAATGTTCCTTTGCTGACAGAGCTCTGCACTTTGTTCTGGAGGAATATTCCTTTGACTGTGTGGTATTCATGCATATTTCAATGTTTGGCACTCATTCCAGATTCTCACCCTCATTTAGCTGGCGTGTATCTGATAAGGAAGAAACTTTTATTTCATCTTTTGCTTTCATTGACATTCTTTAACTGTGGATTGTTTTTGTTTTTCCCAAACTGCATACAGACTACCTGCATGAAGTTAGGTTTTAGGACAACTTTGGGAACTGTTCTAACTCTCCCTAGTCTCCAGTGACAAAATAATCTTTCATGAAAAGTACCACCTGGGGCCAACAAATTTTTTCTCGCTTTTTTCTTCTCCTCTAATTTTTAATCCAAAGCGAGAAGACTACACATGCAGCAGATGTGTTTGCCTGCACTATATAAATCCATACTCCCAAACCTAGGCTGAAAATGTGTCACCTTTATGTCTGGAAAATGCCAGGACCCACAGGGAAACTTGTTTCCAATTCTTTGCATTGTCACTGTCAGGCATCAGATCCCTGGTGCTCAAACATGTCATTGCACCTTCTGTCTCTCAGCTCTCTTCTCCTTATCATTTGGTTCGGTCTAAGGCACTGCACACTTCAGATATATAGCCTAATGACTTGATTGCAAAACTTGGGATTGTTTCTCCCAGAGGTACATGTGCTAAGATTATAAATATTACGCACTCAGTGAAGTTGAATGGGAGGGAATATTTGTGGTGGTCTCAGAAACAAACTAACCTGCATCCAGAAAGCCTGAGTGGTGAAATACTTTCTTTTTGCGGAGCAGTTTAAAATGCTTTCTTGAGCTTTATGACCTTGAGAAAGGCAGATAGTGTATCGTTAGGTGAACACGGCAGATGGATAGTGGGAATCATCACGTTGCCTCCATAAAAGGAGTTGACTGATATTGAATATCTTCCTCCAGTCTTCATTATCAACAGGAGAGCTCTAGAGTTATCTGATTTAGCTAGAGGAAAGACAAGAATTGCACACCAGTCAGGCTCGTGGTTACAACATGCTGGTGGATGAGCAAACCTCTGCACAAGTACCTGAATTACTTTGGTCTTTCAAGTAGGCCAGGCCTAGCAAGCACAGCTGTGGTTTCATGACAAAACATGTTCAGCAGCAGCACTGGATGAGGATATTCTAATTCTCATATATGAGAATATATACCTAATCTTTAGTCTAGTTTCCCACTGTTCATGTATGTGCTGCACTAGAAATATTCCCCTCAGGTCACACAGAGACAATTGTGTTAGACCTCACACAGAATTTTTGACTGACAGGAGTTAAAAAAAAATCAAACAACCCTCCCCACAATCAACCAAACTAATCAACCAACAAACAAACTACAAAAAAAAACAAACAGACCTGCTTTTCTTAGTAGCACTTCAATTACATCTTATGGATTCACTAGCGTTTATAAAACACTGAAGTCCTACTACAGGCCTGTCAGCCTGACCTTGGTGCCAGGGAAAGTTATGGAGCAGATCGTCTTGAGGGAGATCATGCGGCATGTGCAGGGTGACCGGGGGATCAGGCCTAGCCAGCATGGGTTCATGAAGGGCAGGTCCTGTTTGACCAACCTGATCTCCTTCTATGATCTAGTGACCCATCTGGTGGATGAAGGAAAGGCTGTTGATGTGGTCTACCTAGACTTCAGCAAAGCCTTTGACACTGTCTCCCACAGCATTCTCCTGCAGAAGCTGGCAGCCAGAGGCTTGGATGGGTACACTCTTGGCTGGGTAAGGAGCTGGCTGGAGGGCCGGGCACAGAGAGTGGTGGTGAATGGAGTTAAATCCAGCTGGCGACCGGTCGTGAGTGGTGTTCCCCAGGGGTCGGTGCTGGGGCCTGTCCTCTTCAATATCTTTATTGATGACCTGGATGAGGGCATCGAGTGCACCCTCAGTAAATTCGCAGATGACACCAAATTGGCTGGAAGTGTGGATCTGCCTGGGGGTAGCGAGGCCCTACAGAGGGATCTGGACAGGCTGGAGAGCTGGGCTGGAGACAATGGGATGAGTTTCAAAAAGGCCAAATGCCGGGTCCTGCACTTCGGCCACAACAACCCCAGGCGACGCTACAGGCTTGGGGCGGTGTGGCTGGAGGACTGCGTAGAGGAAATGGACCTGGGGGTATTGATTGATGCTCGGCTGAACATGAGCCGACAGTGTGCCCAGGTGGCCAAGAAGGCCAATGGCATCCTGGCTTGCATCAGAAACAGTGTTGCAAGCAGGAGCAGAGAAGTGATTGTTCCCCTATATTCAGCACTAGTGAGGCCGCACCTCGAGTACTGTGTCCAGTTTTGGGCCCCTCACTGCAAGAAAGATTGAGGCCTTGGAACGTGTTCAAAGAAGGGCAACGAAACTGGTGAGGGGTCTGGAACACAGGCCATATGAGGAGAGGCTGAAGGAGCTGGGAATGTTCAGCCTGGAGAAGAGGAGGCTCAGGGGAGACCTTATTGCTCTCTATAACTTCCTGAAGGGAGGTTGTAGTGAGCTGGGGGTCGGCCTCTTCTCTCGTGTCATTAGTGATAGGACCAGGGAGAATGGTTTCAAGCTACGGCAGGGGAGATTCAGGCTGGACATGAGGAAGTATTACTTTTCAGAAAGGGTGGTCAGGCACTGGAATGGACTGCCCAGGGAGGTGGTGGAGTCACCGACCCTGGGGGTGTTCAAGGAAAGACTGGATGTTGTGTTGAGGGACATGGTTTAGTAGGAGCTATTGGGAATAGGTGAACTTTTGGACTGGGTGATCTTTTAGGTCTTTTCCAACCTTGGTGATTCTATGATTCTATGATTCTACATGATAAATACAGAATGTTATTATCCTTTCTATTATAGAATAAAAAGCAACTTCAGTAGTGACTACAGTGAGGATCTGCTAAAATACTTAAGCTACTTCTAATTTCTGCTGATAGCTGTATTAAGGAATGTCACATAAAATGAAGCAGAACTGCACTGGGTGGGATATTTAAATCTTCTGTCTCAGTCTTTGGAGAACCTTGTATGGAAATTACCTTAACATTTTAGTGTTAATACTTAAAATGAAATTTTTGCTTTTTCTTTTTTTTTTTAATGTAACATAAAAAATTCCCACCCTTTATGTGTCTCTAAGTCTTGTTTTCAATTGATGATTGAGCTAAACTAGATCTTTGTTCAAGGTCTGACAATTCCATGGAAGAATCATCGAAGATTTTCAATCTCTACTTCAGACTATTTTGTTTTTTTTTCCATAGAGGTTTGGTTTTGTTTTTTTTTTTTGTTTTTTTTTTTTTTTTTTTTTTTTTTTTTTTTTTTTTTTTTTTTTTTGTTTGTTTTGATAGAAAGGTCTCTGAGACCTGCTTTGAATCCAAGTTTTCACTTGTCTTTGAAAAATCTTCTAAACGTACTTTGATTGTATCGGTTCACTAGATCTCTAGATTTTATATTTTCCCTGGAAACTTTCTCAGCATTTCTAGTTTCCAAAGACATTCTTACTCTGCTAAAGGAGTACTTCCGTTTGACTTCTGTCTCCATTAGTAGCAACTCAACTTCAGATTCATTCCTGCCATACAAGTATATGAAAATATAATTCACTGTAATAAACAAAAGCAACATATATATTTTTTTTAATTTTATTTTTACCATATTCTTTTTACCCTACCTATTTTCTCCTTGTTTTTTTTTTTTTGTTTGTTTGTTTGTTTTTTTTTGGTTTTCTGAGCAAAAATGTTAGTCATGCCAGGAAACTCAGCTTCTCAGTTCTTTTTCAGATCCAGGCCATTGTGTTCAGGAGAATGGAAGGGGGCTCAGCAGTCCTTCCAGCTGTCCTGTAAAGAAACTGTTCTATTACTTAGAGGAGAAAGGCATCGGTATGGAGTAGTCCTCATATGTATATGTTATTCATTGCCAGGTGAAGCTGTTACACCATCTGTTCTTCTTCCTTATGGCTGCAAATCTTTTTAAGACCCTTCCTCAAGATGACAGAGGCAATGAAAACACTTATAAATGCACAAATTATTGTACAGCCTACTGAGTGTGGATATGATAGATCAAACTCAAATCCAGTAAATGGTTGACATTATGCTTCTGAGAACGATTTTTCTGGCCTATTTTAAATGCCTACTTTAGAATTAGATCAGCTGCACCCCAAGGTACTCTCTGTGATTCATAAAGAGAGACTAGGCTGAGTACTTGTAGATATCTATGCTGTCAGTTGCGAAGCTAGGCAAGACTAATACTAAGAGGGTAGGATTGCCTGCAAGGAGAAAAAGCCAAGTTTACCCATGGCTTATCCATTGTTCAACATCTCACTGAAGCATTCTACTGTCGTGTCAGGGCTGGCACAAATCTGGTTTTGATCTGCTGCTGCTCCACAGAGAATGAGCATTTTCTTCACAGCCCTGCCTAACAGCTATGGCATTTCAGACT